CACACACACACACACACACACACACACACACACACACACACACACACGATACAGGATGTGATGGGGAAGGGGACACAAAGAGGTAATTGAGTGTGAATGTGATTAAAGTACATTATATTCATGTATGAAATACAGTGGAGCTGGGGAGATAGCTCAGTTGGTTAATGTGCCTGTCTTGCAAGCATGGAGACTAGAGATTGATCCTCAACACCTGAAAACGCAAGGTGTCATGATCTTGTAATTCTAGCACTGCAAAGATGGAGATAAGAGCATCCCCGGATCCCTCCAAACTGGTGAGGTCCAGGCTAAAGAGAGACTGTGTCAGGGAAGATGGCTAGTGTCCCTGGGCATGACAGCCAGGTTGTCCTCTGGCCTACACTTGCATGTACACAGACATATACATATATACCTGTATGAAGAAATGTCACAATGAAGGGAGAAGTTGGCTCAGTGGATGAAAGGCTTGCCATACAAGCATAAGGACTTGAGTTCAGATCCCCAGTGCCCAGGAAAAAACTTGGCACTCAGGAGGTGAGTGTGGGCAGTGTGTGTCTGTAACTCAGCTGCTGGGAGAGAGGTTTGGAGATCAGTGGATCCCAAGGGCTTGATTGCCAGTCATCTAACCAATATGGGGGATTCCCCCATTGAATGGGAAGTCCTGTTTCAAAACCTAAGGTGGAGACCAGCAGAGGAGGACACCCAACCTGACACCAACCTCTGGACGTCACATGAGCAAGCACATTGGCATACACAGAGAATGTTTGCCACAATGAAAACCGCTACTCCGTACAATTAGTATATGCTAAAAGAAAAAATAAATAAAGGTGAACCCTTGGCCTGAGTCTCTTTTATTTATTGTGATGTGTGCGTACATACTTTAGGAGCCTTCTCAGTAAAGACAATCTGGGATTTCTTTCTGTTCATTGGGTTGGTTGTGTGTGTGTGTGTCTCCCTCTGTGTGTCTCTGTGTGTGTGTTTCCTTTTACAACAGGGTCTCTGTAGTCATTGCTCCACTGGAACTTGCTGAGTAGCATAGACTAACTTTGAACTTTCACAAGAACAACCCTCCTGGCTCTGACAGGGTTGCAGGGTTATAGGTATGGACCACCACACCTAACCCTCGTATATGCATATTTTAATTAGATATTTTCTTCTCAGATACGTGTTTATTTATTTGTTTGCACTGGGATCAAATGCAAGGCCTAGTGTATGGTAGGCAAGCACTCTACCACTGAGCCACATCCTCAACCCCTATTTTTGTTTTTAAAAAGTCCTCTTTATTTCCTTGTACCTTGTTCTTTTCTTGAGAGGACATCCTGTTTTCTAACCTCTGTATGAATTGAGGAAGGGCGGGTGCCATTGTAATTTTGGTGCTAAATGTTTTCCTGTTTCTGCCATTCTTCTTGTGCCTTGTGCTTTGCTGTGCTGAAATGAAGGTGATGTCTGCTCTAAACAATCAGTTTGGTTGAGTATTTCTTCTTCAGGCACTTTCTACCTAGGAGTGATGACAGTTTCTGGAGAGTGTTGGAAGGGTTAAATGTGCTACTATAACTGTAGTACTCAGGCAATATGTCAGATACTCTTGTGTATTCTCTCTGCTGATTGACTCTTAGGTGCCTCTGTTACCTCTGTGGACATTACCAATGGGCTTTTTAACCTAAAACTTCTGGTTTGGTTTGTCCAGATACTAAGGCCTGACACAATAAACACATGTTTATGTGTTGTAATAAACGTGTATATACATGATTGACACCATTAATGTCATTTTACTTGCATCCCATTTTCCTGTTGGGCTCAAAGATAAAAAGAGCTTCAGAGTTTGCAACAATGAGTTTTACATTGTGGATAGACTGTTTTCCAAGATAAAAGAAAGCATCTTTTAAAAACAAAAGCAAAATACCTTTTGGACCAGATAAAGCTAAAGAATTCAGCACCTAGAGACCCCTAGTATAAGAAACGCTAACAGCACCTTCCTTGAATAGAATGAAAACGACATGGTATGGACCCACGCAACAATGCAGAGCCCTACAAATGCAACTGTGTGAAAACGCAGAAAAAGTTTATTAGCCCTTAATCCCAGCACAAACTGAGGCAGGAAGATTATGAATTTAAGGCAGAATCACATCAACTCTTGTGGTGTTGCCTGTCTATAATACCAGCTCTAGGGATGGATCAGAAGTTCAAGGCCATACTTGGCTATATAAAAAGTTTAAGGCCCAGCTTTGGCTGTGTGAAACCCTGTCTTAAAAAAAAAAATCTGGGTGGTGTTGATGCAGGCCTTTAATCTTAGAAGGTGGAGGCAGGCAGATCTCTGAATTTGAAGCCTGCTTGGTCTATGCAGGGAGTTCCAGTCAGGGCTATGCAAAGAAACCCAAAACAAAACAAAGAACCAAAACAAACAAAAAAAAGCTGGAACTGAGATTCTGGGAGACTAAAGCGTCTACTTGTATGAAGTTTGCATTGCTATGATAAAATGCCTGGGAGAAAGAATTTAATAGGAAATGTTTAATTTGGCTCATGGGTTTTAGTCTTGGTCACTCACCCACTTTCTTTGGTGCCTGAGGCAAGCTCGGTAGGGCACCACAGTGTAAGCTGCACATCCTGTGGTGGCCAGGAAGAAAAGGGAGAAGACGGGAAGAACCCAGGGACAAAATACAGCCTCCAAAAGCACCAGTGACCTGCTTCTATCTATTAGAGTATCCCCAGCT